ACTGAAAACATTGAAAGGTATGAAATGATAATATTGCTATTATTCCTTACCTAATTTCACAGACTTTGCTGAATTCAGCAAGAGTCCGTTTAATTTCAAGTAGATGCGCTTCATAGGGCAATGTGATTAATAACATTAGAAGTGCATCAGGGAATGGGAGAGATGACTCAGCGCTGAAGAGCACCGGCTGACCTTCCAGAGGTCCCGAGTGTAATTTCCAGAAGTCACATGGCAGCTCACAACCATCTATACTGAGATCTGATACCCTCTTCTTGCATGCAGGCTGAACACTGTGTACATAATAAATACCACAAAGACATTTGCTCAACTATGTTCATAGCAACTGTACTTGTAAGAGCCATAACCTGGAAGCAACCTAGGTGCCCCTCGATTGAGGAATGGATAAAGAAAATAAGGTACATCTGCACAATGGAATATCACTCAGCTGTTAAAAACAATGATGTCATGAAATTTGAAGGTAAATGGATGGAACTAGAAAAAAAATCATCCAGAGTGAGGTAACTCAGACCCAGAAAGGCAAACATGGTATGTACTCCTTTATACATGGATATCAGCTGTAAAGCAAAGGATAGCTATACTATAATCCGCAGACACAAAGAGATTGAGTAACAAAAGGGGGTTCAAGGTGGGGTGCACAGAACTCCCTGGGAAGGGAGAACAAAAGAGATTTTGTGAGTGAGCTGAGGGTAGGCAAGGCTGGGAACATGAGTGTTGGGAGCCGTGAGACCCCAGATCCTGAATTTCTTGTTTTCCCCTGATCTGAGTGACTACAGCTGCTCTGAGCACGAGACCTTCAAGAGTTCCTGATGGCAGGAGAGTGGTTTCTGGTGGGTTTGACTGGGGCATGGCTATCTCTATATAATCTGCCCCAGAACACAATAAAGGGGGCATTCTTGGGGAATTCGAGGATGACCCGTGTCGCTGTCTCTCTGTCTGAGTGTGTTTGTGTATTTTAACCTCCAGCCCCCTTGCCCGAAGCTCGGTAACTGGGTGCCAGCGCACAGAGCACAGACATGGAGGAGCGGTGTGCGGCAATGAGAAATTAGGTTGGGTGTGTGTGGAAGGAGAGAGTACTGAAAGAGACTACTGGAAAGAAGGGGGCATTTCAGGGCCAGCGAGGGAATCTCCCAGGGATCTATAAGGATGACCCCCAACTAAGACTCCTAGCAATAGCCTATACAAAGCCTAACTGGCCGTTTCCTGTGAGCAGGCATGTAGAGGGAGTGGAAAACCAACTCAGCCACAATACCTTCAACCTACAGTCTGTCCTGCCCATGGGATGTGCTGGGTGACCTAGAGAGCAAGGGAGTGGCCAACCAATGCCTGGTCTAGCCTAAAACCCATGCCGGGATAGTAAGCCCACCCCTGGCATTAGCTGAAGGACCCAGAGGCTGAATGACCCAGAGATCCAGGATGGAATCAAACATGACCGAAGGGGGGAAATGTCAACGTAATGATGCCTAACAATTGTCTGCTATATTCATAGAGTGGTGGCTATTGTTGTCAGAGAGGCTTCGTCCAGCAAATGACAGAAGCAGACGCAGGCCCACAACCAGAACTTTAGGTGGAGCTCGGAGAATCCTGTAGAAGAGGGGGGAACAGATTGTAGGAGCCAGAGGGGTCAAAGACACAAGAAAACACAGGATCAGGTAACCTGGGCTCACAGCAGCTCACAGAGACTGAACCGCCAACGAGAGAGCCTGCATGGGACTGACATAGGTACTCTACATATATGTTACAGTTGTGTAGCTTGGTCTTGGATTGGGTCTTCATATTCCTTTTGGTGGGGGTACTGTCTGCATGTTGTGTTTCACAGCCTGAATAGTGCTTCCATTATGGAGTCAGTTGTGCTAAGGACTGAGGACCGACTCACCTGTGGACTCTTATTACAGAAGCATTGCTATGCTACATAAGGCATGCAATAAATGCCTGTATTCAGTACGAAATTCACTCTTGAAAACATCTGGGCAGAATGGTGTAAGTACTGCTCCCATCCCACCATCTCCCGTAAGTACTGCACCCACTGAGCCATTCCCCATAAGTACTGGCTACACCAAGCCTTCCCAGCCCTACTTATATTCCCTTAAAAAGTCTTCAGTGTTTCTCTGAGGTTTACACTAACACTATACATCTTTGACTTTCCTTTTAGCTGTAATTTTAAATTAAAACTTTTTCATTAACATGCAAAAGTGAGTTTCAGTGGGATGTTTTCATACATATAATTATATGTTTCTTCTTTCCCCGCATACTCCTTCATTTCCCCGCCCCCCTCTTTCTGTACCCCTCTCCCCAATACTCCCCCTTCTGCTCTCACCTCACATCTGTTCCGTCTCTTGCTCCTTCCACTCCTCACCCTCCACACCTCCCTCTCCTGTCTCATTGTCCAACTGTCTACTTCACGCCAGGTATATGTTTGTAAAAATTTTAATCTAGATTCTGCTCATGAGAGGAAAAAAAGCATGTTGTCTTTCTGCATCTGACTTGCTCCACCGAGCATCCTAATCTTCCGTTTCCCCATCTTTCTTAAATGTCATAATTTCATTCTTCATCTCTGACGAACATTCCTTCGGTCGTTCATCTGCTGACGGCCATTAAGACGGGTTTCATATCTTGGTTATTGTGAGTAGTGCGGAGATAAACACGGATGCGGTTCTCTGGCTTCGACTCAGTATAGTTGGACCATATGGTAGCCCTGTTTTAGATTTTCTTTTGAGGATCTTCCATCCTGATACCCATAGCAGCTGCATCACTTTACACTGCAATCAATCAGCAGTGAATAAAGGCTCATCCTCACCAGCATCTTCACCAGCATCCTCACCAGCATCCTCACCAGCATCTTCACCAGCATCCTCACCAGCATCCTCACCAGCATCTTCACCAGCATCCTCACCAGCATCCTCACCAGCATCTTCACCAGCATCCTCACCAGCATCCTCACCAGCATCTTCACCAGCATCTTCACCAGCATCTTCACCAGCATCTTCACCGCATCCATTGGTGTTTCTTTTCTTAAGACAGCCATTCTTGATGGGATGGGATGGAATCCCAAAGCAGTTCTATTTGTAATTCTCCAATGGTTAGTGTATTGGCTGGAATTCTCTAAAGGAACAAGACTGACAGGAAATAAACAAGATAAAACAAAGAAAGGGAGTGTTTATTAGAATGGCTTACAGGCTGTGGCCCAGCTAGTCCACACTGGCTGTCCACCAGCAGAAGAATCCAATAGTTGATCAGTCCCTGAAACTGGATTTCTCAGCTGGTCTTCGGTATACATTGCAATCTAGAAGAAGTTAGGTTCTAATTCCAGTGAAGGACTGAGCTTACCAGCAAGGTAAGAGCAAACAGTCAAAGACAGCAAACCCCCTTCATCCTTGTCCTTTATATAGGCCGCCAGGAGAAGGTGTGGCCTGGATTGTAGATGGATCCTCCCACCTCAAAAGATCTGAATTAATACTTTATATCCTCATCTCAACAAATCTGGATTAGAAGTGGGTCTTCCCACTTCAAGTAATCAATTAAGAAAAGATCCTTCCCAGATGGACCTAGCCTCTTGGATTTCAGTTAATTCCAGATGTAGTCAAGCTGACAACCAAGAACAACCATCACAACCCCCCTCCCCACTTGTGAATTTGACAAAAAGTCATATCTCCTATGCCATGACTGATTTCCAAATGAAAACAATGACCAGGACCTCATTGCACCTAACGTGGCATGACTATCCTACAAACCACTGTAAACACATTACACATTTAACCAGGCCATAGCTACATCTAACATGAATTGACTATGCTTTTTACAACCACAAAGACGTTATACATTTAGAATAGGTGGCAATGTCCCTTGAGGGACCTTCTTTTAATATCTCAAAGATGATAAACCGATGTTCTCTTAACTGATCCTGTATCACGTGGTAAAGAAATAGAGGAAAGAGAACACAAATATCTGCACAAATCCATTCTTAACAAAATATGGCAGAAATACTCATATCGATTATATCCTTACTACTGTAACTGGTCATGTGGCCTTAGTGGATATCGGTAACTACCTTCCTCAACTATCCATTTCCTCTGGAGATTTGATACTGTTTTTCTCATTCACTATGTTCCTGGGCAGAGGCAATTCTAAAAGCTTCCTTAGAGCCCCAACCCTAAGAGCCTACACTCCACAGGCCGGGGAACCAATGAGAGAACTCTACCGACTTCTAAGTGGAGCTAGCTCAATTAAACATTCTGGGACTGAGAAGTAACCACAGGACCTCCTGTGAGTAGGACTTGAGCCAAAACTCCATTAACACCAGACCACCATAAGCCTCTCCGATAACTGGCTGACCTCAATGTTTCTTGGGATCTCCCAGAATCAGCATCAATTCAGAACCAGTATACAATAGACCCCTGAAGGTCTGATGGTTTCCTTTTCCCCAGTGTACAGTAACCCTTCCCCTTTAGGGAAGGACTGGGGCAAGGTGAACTGTAAAACTCAGGTATTTTACCAAGGTCCTTCTTTAAGGGTACTTGGTTGGACCTTTATTCTGGGGTTCTGGGTTTGCAAACCGGCTCCAAATCTGCAAATTGGTTCTCAGACCAAAAGTCCCTATGGCCACAATCCAATGTAGGCTTTTTTTTTCATTTGTTTGAGAATCTTTCCACATATACAGATTAAACAAAAATGCATGGGTTTAGATACAGCAGTTAAGCATCAAAATTTCCAAATTTGTTGTTGTTTTTTTTTTTTTTTTCAGAAAAGGAAGAGAGGGGAGGGAAGGAACGAAAAGAAACTGGCTTTTATTTAAGTGGGGTTTGCTGGTTTTATTTCCCAGAGGCCGCTTGCGAAGATCCTGCCCTTTCTAAGTGGTCTGCCCCATCCTCGTGGAGTCAGGAAGCTGGGAGGCGGGCGAGCGCCCCCTGGTGGTCACCGCAGCGCCACACCGCGGACCGCGGGAGGGCGGGAACCACGGCCGGCCCCGCCCCTGCGGCCCCCCCTTCCCCCCCGCCGTCCGGGCCTCTGCTTTCCCGCGCAGCGGCGGCTGCGCCACTTCCGCTGCTCGGGCCGCGATGACTCCCCGGCCCTGGTGGCTGGTGCTCTGGATGCCTCTCCTGGCCACTCTGCCCGCGGGCGCGGTGCAAGAGGAGGAGGAGGCGGTGATGACAGGTAACCCTGGCTCCGGGCGGGGGGGGGGGGCGCTCCCTTCTGGGCGTCAGGGTCACGCGTGGGCGCGGCCAGTCCCCGCCCCTGTGTGCGAGCATCCGGATGCTTCACGTTTTAATTCCTTCAGGACACACTGCCGAGCACCGGCGCAGCTAGCCCCTTGCCACCCGCTCTTGTCTGAAATCTTATTTTATCCGTCTCCACAAATCTCATGCAACCCCCAAACTAGAGGAGGGTAAAAGCTTCCGAGTGACACCAGGATTCTGTCCCCGATTGGCTGCTGTGACCTGGGTGGTTGGTCACATGCAAAAATACTGCTGATGCCCCAATCCTGAACCCGGCGCCTAGGAAGCAGCTGGGAGCTGCCCGGACTGTTTGAGTTGCGGAAGATCCTGATTTACAAAGTTGTAGCTGCCAACCTCAGCAATTCCCCCACGAACTTAACGTTTGTTTTAACCGCTCATGCACCCTTTAAAAGATTGCTTGTTAGCATTCTTAGTTGCATCAGCCACCCGTGGACTCAAGAGGGGCTGCCAAGTGTGGGACTTTTAACTGGATAAACTTCTCACACCGATAAAGTCAGTAGGGTGTCTGAGACAGAGACAGTGGCTAACGAGTGTTCAGTAAGCGGTTTCTACCCCAGTGGTTCTTGAGATTTTTACCGTAGGCCAGGGTAGCCTCGAGTGTGCAACAGCCCTGCCTCCACCTCCCAAGCCAAGGGTTTTCAGGGCTAGCACACCTGGCTTACAGACTGGGTATTTCCTAGCCGACCGGTTCCCACTTGTGTTAAAGACACACCAGGACTTTCCTGCGTGGGAAGTGTAAGATGCCCACGAGGTGATAAAACCTCAGTCTGCAGCTGAGAAAAATGGCGACTTCGGGCCCGACTCCAGAGAGTCTTTAAATGCGTGTAGGAGGTGACCACTGTCCTAGAGTGTTCAGTGACACCGTGAGAGCCCCTTGGTTGACTGCCGCTACTATCGAGGCTGTGGTTTTACAAGGAACCCCGGGATGAGACCGCGAGGCAGCACGTGCCCCCACCCACAGGAAATGTATTTTTGAAAAAAAGCACCGCAAATGGCCGCCCAAAACTTCAGCTAGTACTAAACCTTACATATACTTTTTCTCATAGATACATACTTGCCTTTAAGTTTAATTACAAATCAAGTAGAGTAAGAGAAAATTAATTGCTACGAATGCAGTTATAATGAAATGCTGTGGGAACAGTTATTTGAACTGACAAATTATTGTTTGGAGGAGATTTCCATTCGGTGTTTTCAGACCCCAGTTGAACACAGAAAACTTCAGCTTCAGCCAGTGAAACTGGTGTCGTGGGACACTGGTGGTCCTGCCTGCCAAAAAGTGGGAGCAGTCCAGAGCGTGGGAGGCTTGCCTCTGATTGTTCCCGAGACCCTCCCCAGCTCTGAGACCCTGCCTTGAGCACATACCCACAGCCATGGCATGATGGACAGCCACTCTGAGGCCAGCCTTCTGTCGCCTTTTTTGAAGAAAAGGCAGACACTTGTCACGGGAGACAGGTAGTTGTCTGAGGAAGAGAAACTCAAGTCAAGCATAACTCTTAGTTTGAAACCAATAGGTCAGGTCTACAGAAACTTCCGTCCTTCAGCTGAGGGGCCAGAAATGGTTCTCCCAGGCTTCCCTCTAACAAGGGGCCATTTCAGATTCACAGCTTGAAGTTCTTGTGTGGCAGGGAAGATGTCTCCTGAAGTGAGGATCAGACCGTGCGTGTGCTGGGATGTTCTGATTTCTGTCCTCTTCTCGTGTCACTGGAGGTCTAGAAACCAAGATTTATATTCAGGTTAAGAGCAACAAATGGTGGTGGCAAACGCCTTTAATCCCAGCACTTGGGAGGCAGAGGCAGGCGGATCTCTGTGAGTTCGAGGCCAGCCTGGTCTACAAGAGCTAGTTCCAGGACAGGAACCAAAGCAACAGAGAAACCCTGTCTCGAAAAACAAACCAAACAAGCAAACAAACAAAAAAACAACAAGCGGGAGTTAGTCCAGAGAGACGTCGTTACTTCTGGAGCTCACACCTTTGAAAAATGTGAGTTTACCAAAAATACCAAGAAGATCCGCACTCCATCTGGGACTATTTGGTTGCATTTGAACTCCCACAAGGACAGTTTGTTGGCTTTTCCTGCTTATCCCCCGTCCCGGAAGACCCGAGTCTAGGTTTAATGCAGAGAATGCAGCGCGCGAAAGTGTCTGCTGTGTTTCTCTCATGATGTCATCAGGGGGTCGTGGTGTCCGTGCGCCAACTGTGGAGGCCTAGGTCCCCGGAGGGATGCTGGTGGATTATTATTATTATTATTTAATATGGGAAGTGGCTTAGCATCTGCTAGGGCTTGAGAAGTGTTTGTGTTTTTCATTTTTGGAAGCATCTATAAGTAGGCTTCAGTACTACCTGCTCCTAACATTTTGACTGAAGGTTTTTGCCATATGTCTGACTAAACTCTTCAAGTTTAAACACACTTGGGCATTAAGGAGGCTAATAAGCAGGAGAGGAGACATTTGCTTTTGACTTAGTAACCAAGCAGGTGACATGAGGCTGCACACACCTTATGTGTGCACCGCAGTGCGCCCTTGCCCCCCCCCCCCGGGACTCGTTCTGACACCCCAATAGGTGAAGGAAACCGCAGAGCTCTGAGTTCCCTGAGTGTCTTTCCTCCCTCACTGCCGTGACGCGTAAATTAGGGCAATGACAGAACAACAATACTATCAATTTACTCAGCAGTCGCCCGAAGCTTATCAATTGCTTATTTCTGGAAATGTAATCTAATTCTTTTTTGAGCATGTTGACCCAAGGTAACGGAGATGGTAGAAAGTGAGGTCACAGAAGCGGCCAAAGAAGGTCACATGAGTCCCACACCCCATTAGCCAAACAGTACAAGCTTCATGGTATTTAAAGTGATGAGGCCTCTGTCTCATTGGTCCACATAAGCCAGGCTTAAGGCCTTTGGGAATGCATTTAATTCCGTCTGCATGTTCCTTAATCTGCTGAAGGCTGAGGAGAAATCCAGAACAAGTTCTAACCAGGAAGTTCCTTATAGCATATGCTGATGTCAGAACCAAGATTCCTGCCACTTCTTGGCCTCCAGTATCTGAGGAGGAGCAGGAAAGCTGGTCCTTAGCCAGAGGCTCTTAGTGTGGCCAGCCTTGTCCTGTAGTGTAGGCTACACTGGTGACTTCACACTTGGCTCCCTGGGCTGCGTGGGCTCTGGAGTGGGTGGCGTGGCACCGGCTGACCACATGTCCGAGGTTTTCAGGAAAGGCCGGGGCCTCTCCCTTGTACTGGCAGTTCCTCGAGGAAGTCGGCTGTTTTCACTGGCCAGGTTACGCTTGCTCGGGTAATCCTCTAATCCTCTCAGATTGCAACACTCGTGCACACGAAAGCCTGAACACTGTGGGATTCAGTAAGTCCATAGAGAGTGAGATAAGACGTCTGTCGTCGGTTGCCAGAAAGTAGCTGAGCGTACTTCTGCCGTGGCTCAGAGAAGGCCTTCTGGAAAAGGTGGCATCAGGGCAAACGTGACAGCTATCGGCAGGCATTAGCCCCGCCAGGGTCTGGGGGAAGAAAGTTGGGGTGCAAGGAGACCTGAGGCCGGACTAAGCAGGTACTTTGAGGAGGGTCGGTGGACTGGTTGAGCTGGAGCCCTCAAGCGAGAGAGAGGTTGAGGAAGAGGAGGCTGTAGAGGTACCTGGGCCTTTCAGAAGGAGGGTAGATGTTTCCATGGTGTTAGCAGAAGTGATTAGAGGCTGTAATGGACCCTGAGGGACGATTTATTTCTAAAAGGCCTGCATGTTTTATTGGAAGAAAGGTTGTGGAGGAATCGTGGGCTTAGTTCTGGAAGTAGGGAGACCAGCCGGAGTAATCTTAAGTACAAATGAAAGATGCTTGCACAACGGAAGCTTTGCGCCCGCATCCATGCTTCGGCGCTATATTTGCACACACCATCTTGCTCTGAAGAGCAGCAGATGGCCAGCCATTTAGAAGACTGTTGACTGAGTTTTCTGTCCTGCCCGGTTCCCACCGTCGTTCAGTCCCAAAGAAATCACGCAGAGGTCTACATTAATTATAAACGGATTGGCCTAGTATCTCAGGCTTCTTATTAACTCATATAACTTCTTTTAGTCCGTAATTCTTATCTGTGTTAGCCACGTGGCTTGGTGCCTTTTTCCAACGAGGCATGTCACATCTTGCGTCCTCTGCATCTGAGTCAAGACTGCAGACTGAAACTTCCCTCTTCCCAGAATTCTCATTGCCCCGCCTGTACTTCCTGCCTGGCTACTGGCCAATCAGCGTTTTATTAAACATAATACAAGTGACAGGATAAAAGACCATTGTCTCACAGAAGAAGACAGTCTTGGGGCCCATTGGAAAGCCTTCATGATGGCAGCCTTTGTTTACAAAATCAGTCCTCACAGGACAAGCTTCTACAGACCACGGATGCAAAGTTTTCTGTGAAGTTAATTCAGCCCACAAATAATGGGGCTCCCTAGGAGAGGAGTTATAGGGCGACCCCTTGGAGGCATCTCTAACAACCCCCTCACACACAAACCCCCATCCCCATAGCATAGAGCATACCTGGAGACAAAATGCCAGACCGTGCATGGGCATTTGTCTAAAGTTCTGGGATGCTAGGGCTGTGAACCTGCCACCCCGTGCCCTTCAGCTTCCCTGCTGGGACTTGCTCTTTTCCAGGGGTAAATGAATCCCTTCTCAAGGATTCATAGCACACAGTTTTCCATCCTAGCTGCCCCGTTTAGCTCCGGGTCCCATCCAGAGACCTCACAGGAGGTAGAGAGCGTGTGACGTGGGAAGGCCGGCCCGAGACCTTCCGTTCGGTCCTCCGGCTCAACTGGCAGGGCTCCCGGGGCGTGCCACTGTGTTCTCACAGCTGCTCGAGCATTCTGTGACCTCCTTTTCTACAGCCGGCATTCCATGTCCCGAGACTGCGCCTTTGGCACGCCGCCCCCGGCCTTGAGCTGTGTGCCTCTCGGCTCTACCCACCGATTCCCCCACCTTGGCCGCCCCACGTGTTCACAGCACAGGTTCTGCTGTCTCCTTTGGGGTCTCACGTCTACGTATACCCTACATCGTTAACTGCTGGTGTCCCCAGAGTCTCCCAAGGGTCCTCTTACTGCTTTGGAACCTGGCTCTTGACCTAGATTCTTAGGTTTTCAGCCCCGGGCTCTGCGGATGATTTCATCTCTGTGCTCAGAGGAGCCATGAGGGGTCCTCACAGTAGAAGGTCCTGGGTCGTCACGTGACCAAGCTGTCGCTTTGGTGCGGCTCTTTTAGGAGGTGGGACTATGCCCGTCCTCGCTCCAGCCCGCCACAAAGGATATTCCAGGTCAAGGCAGGCTCCTATTGCGTTGATTCAACATAATTTTCTAAATGGGTATAATGATCAACTAGCAACGATGGTTGCCTAGCCCTTACCGAACTTTGGTATAAGGGTTTATTCCAGCTTCATTTCCGATTCCCTTAACTATACTTTGCATAGGGCAAAGGGCTTATTTCTCTGGGTAGCCACAAGCATTCCCTACTCCGGTCTCCTATTCCCGAGAGGCACTTCCTGTTCGACAGGCTGTCTTGGACTCCGAAGAACTTGGTTCAAATTTACACACAGCAGTGGTCTCAGAAAGCGAACCCCGTTTTTAATTCTTTTGTAGCGTTTATCACAGGTGCTAGAGGACCTGTCCCCCTCAGATTACATTGCTGAATGCTATATCAGTGTTATTTGTGAACACACTAAGCCTTACACGTCTCTATTCGGCTCCAGCCAAAGATCTTTTTGGCTGTAGAACTCTCTCTCCATCTTCTTTAGACCCGGTGAGAACTGACTGTATGTCAGTCTGTCCAGAACTGATCTCCCCTTCTTCTCAGAGCCCTACCTCTCCATAAGCACGGGGAAGAAGCTCACCATCCAGAAACCTTCACATCTTCCTCTCCTTTATCCACCGACTCTCCAAAGTATGTCGATTTCTCTCCCCAAGAGCTCTTGCTGTCCTTTCTCCTCCTCCTTGGTTCACGCCCTAAGAAATTGGATCCTCTCCTTGCTATGGGACCTAGAGATGATAGCTGCCTCCTGTTGTGGGTGCCTCTGCTTGGTGATTGGTGACTGTCCTGCCCAGAACTGACTAGACGGTTGAGGGGAGCCCTTTTTGATGTCTTCATCCGTTTCCTGCCATATTTGATACTTACCTGAAGTCCTCTGTCCTCTGCGTTCAGGGTGAAGTACGGATTCCTTATGCAGACGTGGCCATTGCTTACCTCCAGCTGAGGTGTCCCGATGGCTCCTGCTTCCTCACCCCTGAGTTGAGCCCCGGTGATTTCGCTTATCTGATGACGCTCATATTGGTGGTCTCTGGGTCCTGATACTGTCTTATCGCTTACAACTTTTTCTCGAGTCTTCTGATCGTATTTCTCTCCTAAGAGGCTTCCCTTAACTCTTGGCATATACTCTTGGACCAAAGACACACTGTTCTCTGCGCATGTATGGTGGTCACGTGTGACCTAAGAGTGCTGACTCTGGCTGTGGCAGCACTGTTCTCCGCACATGTATGATGGTTACGTGTGACCTAACAGTGCTGACTCAGGTTGAGTTTCCTTCAGACAGACCCTTGCTAGACTGGGAAGAATGAAGGTCTCTAATGACCATGAAGAAGAATTTTGGGTCATAGAATACTACAAACTATGACAACCTCCCTTTGAACACTTAAAAAAAAAACCAGTTACTTAGGAAACCCTAAGTTTATTTTTTTATCTTTCAGCTCCAATATGTAAATCTCTGAAGGAAGCAGACTTCATTGAAACATCTACGCCAGACTGTTACTGCTTCAAGCAAGAGCAAATACAGTGGACATACATGTGGTCGACGGTGCAGGTCAGGCCACTTTTACATCATGTCGTAAGAGCGTAAGATTAAAACGCACCACTCTGGGATCTAAAGATATATTTTGTATGACTCCTAGCTGATGTATCAGGATGAAAGCTAACTCGGGGGGGGGGGAAACGGGAAATTGTATTAAAGGGGTGCAGAACTGGGAAGGTTGGGGACCAAGGCTCTGAGGACACAGAGAAAGAGGCAGTAATTAAAAGTGATGAGCTCACTCACGGGGAATGTGATGACTCAGAAAGACTGGCTTGGCCGGGGAAGGAGTGCTGTAGGCCGAGGGATAGTCTGCCCCGTCTCAGGACGTGATGTCAGCTTGTACCCTTCCTAGAGAATAAGATGTTTGAGGCTCATGCAGGTTCTGGTGCCACCATGCCCAGCATCTTGTACATTTTTCCCGGGAGCTTCTGGGACGCAGAAGCTGCAGGAATCCGTCCCTCGCATCCCTGTTCATTCACCCAACTCTTTCACTTTCTCCAAACGGCTTCACAACTCCGACGCCTCCTCCTATCTCATTCTTGGCTGACAGTCCTTCTGCTTCATTAAAAAACGGGGAAAAAAAAATATATCCTCTGAGGGACAGGAAGTGGAGAGATTGTAAGAGCCAGAGGGGCTGAAAACACCAAGGAAACAGCTCTGAGCCAGGCGGGGTCCCAGCACCGAGATGGGAAGCGCGCACCAGCCCCTGTCTCCACCTGAGATGCTCTCCAGCTGACAGCCGTGGACAGGAGGGGTCAGTTTTCTCCAGTGGCGTCCCACTGGCTATACAAAGCACATTGAAGGGCAGGCCCCATGTCCAGCAGTAGATGGGCAACACAAATGACCTCAATGAATTTTTCTAGGGTCTATTATTATTATTATTATTATTATTATTATTATTATTATTATTACAGGTCTTTTGCTTATATATCCTGTTTTCCAATTCTGTGTTTTTATGGGATTTGTATGAAGGTGTGTCTATATGTGTTCCATGGTCTCTTTCTTAGGGTACTTTTTCCTGTTTGTTTTGAGTTTTTTCATTACTTATTTATTTATTTTAGATGGCTGTTTATTTTCTAATCAGAAAAAAAAAAGGGTGTGGGTTTGGATGGGTTGGGAAGATCTGGGAGAAGCTGGTTGAGGAGAAAACATGATCGGAATATATAGGGTGAGGAAAAAATATTTTCAATTAAAAAAATGTAAAAAAAAAGATGGAGGTCGTGTAGGAAAAGAAATGGAAAGAATCAGGAACGGCCGTGTGCTCGCTCTTTTCTCAACACCCACCTGTCGGCTCCTGCGCAGACGCTCTGCTCCCTGCGGTGGAGGAGGTGTGTGGTTCCCACCCTCCTCCACCCAGTGGCACCTCCCTCCCCGCTGCATGGCTCCTACAAAGCCCCCGTCTTTCGCCCTGGCTCTTCTCATTTCTCTGCTTCTCACTATAATAAAAACCCTCTCAAAAGCTAATGTCTGCCGTTCTCCCATCTCCAACCACTTCAGTCACTCAGACTCGCACCCCAAGGTTCCTAGCACCTCCGTGTTGCTAACTTCAGCGTGAACTTAAACTTGTGACCCTTTGCCTCCGAGTCCCAAGTGCTGGGACGACCGCCCCGTGCACAGTCACAGCTGGTAAAACGTCTGCTCCCCGTGGTATCTGTAAACTAACACAGGTGTGTGGCCGCCCAGGACCAGATCTCTGTCCTGAGCACTGGAGCCTTCTTCCCTCAGCCATTCCTGTGTTGAGCGAAGGGGAAGGTTTGATCCGCCTGGACTGACCCGTTCCTGTCTTGTAGGTAACCGTCGCCAGTCGAGACCTGCTCAGATTTGTGTACATCACAGGAAGTCGCAATTGCCAGCATCCGGAAACCATCCTGTCATTTGTCAAATGTGTGATTTATAACTTTTGGGCACCAGAGGAGCTTAAGGGACTGATGATGGTCTTCAGTCCATACGGAGAAACCGTATGCTTCTCCGTGAGGCCCATCGGGAGTATGTCGACCTACATAGTGAGCGTGGACCGAAACAGTAAGTCTGTTGTCATTAGAGTTGACTTTCCTGTTCTTTCCGCGACCGACGCAACATATCTGTGGTGTTTGCGCCTTTTTATTTTCCAGCTTTGGATCTCAGGCTCCTCCTCCTCTTTGTGGCGGGCATCCTCCTCTTAGTTTCTGCAAAGACCTTGAGCCGGTAAGTGCCCATTTTTATACCCATAGTGCTCTGATTCAAAGGCGTATCCGTTGTTTCTGACTCTGTGCTGAGCGTTTGTACAGCACAGCACGTCTGTGGCTCCTCAGGAATTCACAAATGACAGGGCCGAAGGCGGCGTAGAATCTTCGGAGATACGCGCATGGTGCAGAGTGCGCTTGCGTACATTAGTTTACGTCTGTGAACTTGGTGCGACTCTTCCTGTGTTGTTGATTCCAGAACACGCGTGCAGCATCACTTGATTCGTTCTCGTGAATGCCAAGGTTCGTGCTCAGGTTCTTGCTGCTGGGGACCTGCTGCCTTTCCCCGGATATCGGACGGGACGGATACTTGCTCCCTGGATGCACGCTGCCCTGCTATTGGTTTCTTGTAACTTTCCTATAAAAGCCACTCTCTCGCCAGTGTTTACTTCTTAACCTGCCCGGCCTGCTTCGCACCCGTAATCTCCGTCGTTCTCAGCCGTGTTCACTTCTAAGCTTGTCCTGAGGGTGTGGTCTGGGGTGTGCCGTGTGGTCGGCCAGCTTTTCTGACCGGGTGATGGATCTGCAGCGGGAAGAGGAAAGCCTAGATGCTGATGAGCAGGGCTGCCGTCCTGAGTCATCCAGCAGCCCCCACACTCGGAAAAGCCCTTTAGCTTCTTGGTATCTCGGGTTTCTCCTCTGTAAGATTTATCCATGGGTATCTGGGGATTTGTGGGAAGCTCTCAGGCATGTCTTGCTATGTGACAGGTGCACACACTTTTGGATCACCTTCTGAATACGGACGGTAACTCAGACACTTAACGACAGTCTATTGACTGAAACTTTCAAGTACTGATTTCAATTTAAAATGTGTGGAACGTGATTAGAGTTTTTTTTTTTTCTAAATATACCTTACTGACTACTATTGCCACATTGAGTATTATGATTTTTTTTCAGGTTTTTTTACTTTTTTAACTGAAAGTGCGCTTGATGTTGATGTGACCTTTTTCTCTGTCTTGACAGAAGCCCTGTTTTCTATTACTCTTCGGGTACTGTGTTAGGTGTGGTCATGACCCTAGTGTTTGTCCTTCTGATGGCTAAGAGACACATTCCAAAGGTAGGTAGGTATCTTACACGCGAATGAGTAGAACGTGGCATCCGAGCTTTTACAGATACCGAAAAGTGAATAAAAGTTAACTCCCATTGTGCCACACCCTAGTTCAGGTGTGCTCCTCTGCTGTGTACGCGGACCGTAAAGTCTGTCTGTTTCTGAAAAGACGGTTTGTGTTTATTAGTGAGATATAGGATTATATCGTTTGGTGATATTTTTGTACCCTATTATGAACTGTATCTTGCGAGTATGACCCTGAGTCTCTGGGGCATTACGTAATAGTGGTGCTACATCTATTTTTTTCTTGTTGTTTCTCCTCTACACATTATTTTATAAAAATAATGCCCCAAAGAATAAATTAATAGTAGTTCATGATCGCAATTCTGTGGCGACTTTGATTAAAGCTCCAAATGCCAGCATTTTATACTTTTCAGTAGTGTTCTCAGACTTTAACACACATGCTAGCCAGCTGCGGGGGTGGGGGAGGGGCTTGTTAAAATGTAGCTTCTGCTCCAGCAGTGGGGCCCAAGTCTGCATGCCCTTAAGCTCTTACGTGAGAGGAACCATGCCCTGGACAGTGAGACTCAGAAAGATTAGAGAAGTCCTCACTTTGACTTGACCTAGACATTTCTAGAACAGAGAATTGGTTTGCTTCTATTTTTGTGAGAGTGAATGAACCATATATATATATGTATGTATGTATGTATGTATGTATGTATGTATATACCGTGTCGCTGTTTCCTTCCACACACAGTATAGCACGTTTGGGGCGCTAATGATTGCTTGTTGGTTTGCTTCAGTTTACGTCGGGTGCCAGCTGACGGAAGACCTGAAGAGGCTGAACAGACTGTACGTATTAGGTAGGTAACGGCACAGAAGGACCGTCTGTCGTCCGCTAGCTAGGGAAGCGCCAGCGGAGGACATCCACACGCCTCCATCCATTTCCGTTTCCGTAGGATTTAAGGAGAGGAGCAATTAAAAATAACACTTTATCGTATTGTCATAGTTGGTGTGTTAGTTCATTTGTATCCCATTTTGAACTCTTTTCCTCTATAACCTTAGTTTTTTATACAATTCATGGGATGAGGGAAAACGCTCCAGAACCGTGGCCGAGCTCAGCCACATCCAGGCTCTGGTGTGAACACTGCACGAGAGGCCTTCTCGTCACCTCCCAGCTCACTCTCTCTCTCTCTCTCTCTCTCTCTCTCTCTCACTCCCTCCCTCCCTCCCTCCCAATGAAAGCTCGGCTTTTCAGAAACAGAAAGCAGGATTCCCATTTAATCCCCTTGTTTTGTGGTACAAAACTCTTCGATTTTGTTAGGAAATAATGGGGATTGGAGCCCCAATAATATCAGGTTTCACGTACGAAGACAATGGTGCTAAAGCAAAAGCGATTCATTCTTAAACACTTTATTTTTAGCCTCCTTTCCTATTAAATTATTTATAATTTACTCCTAACATGAAATATTCCTCTAAGTTCTTTACTCTGTGTTTCGAAAAAGCAAGAGCGTTTTCTATATGACCAATATTAATTGCTGTTGTTAGCGCTAGGGATTGTACCCGGGTGGCATGTATACTCACCATCTGTGTACCACTGAGTTATAACCTTAGCCTCACTAGTAAATGCTAAAGTTTCATAACTGCATAGAATCACCTATTGCCCAGGTCATATTAAGATTTGAGTTGCCCTTGCAGCCTGGATGTTTGGCCTGGACATGGCGCTGAACCCGTTAGGCCCAATAACTCTCTCCATCCATCATGGCTCCCTTCATCACAGGGGTGTGCTGGAGAAGCCACGCCAGGCATCCTGTGCAAGGTCCAGTCTCTGGATGTTTGTGGCGCCCATTTTGGGGCATCATTTAGCCCGTTTATTTCTCCTCCGCATCTACTGCAAATAAGAAACGGATCTCAAGGTTTGCTGAGAAACAAAGTGAGCGCTTGTGGCAGGACTCATTAGACGTGGCGTGCTCGTCCCATCAGGTGTCACCCCGCTGGCAACGATGGACTGGGTGTGGCTAGCCAAGGGTGGCTGCCGGATCTGTAAAATGACGTTCTCCTTTAGTGCGGAGAGAAATGAGAAATAAGGGTTATAGCAATGTGTGAAATCCACTGGCTCACTTTCGACCATAGCAACCACGAACCATTTGTCCACTTAGGACACTGGGCTTAAAAAAGATATGACTATATGTTATCTTATTTGTCAGTATGTATCTTAAGTGATTACAAGTCGGCGTGTCGGGCTGGAACACCCACTCAGTGGTCTGGAGGGCTTGCTGCTCTCCCAGAGGCCTTGGGTTTGTTCCCAGCACTGGATTGGTTAGCTTACAACTGTCATCATCCACTTCCTGGCCTTGTGGGTACCACATGCAGGCGGATGCAGCCAGACCGATAATCGTAAAACATCGTTAGAGTCAGCCTGTGAGCTCACATACAAGGATTGATGAGCATTCCAGCCCGACAGGCCTTCATTAGGAAAAGGAAATTTATTTTTTCTTATTTTTTCAAATTAAGGTTCTCTGATAGATGTTATTTTTCAGTCAAGGCTCTGCCAGATTTCCACATCAGTTCTCAAGTTCACGTTTCAATTCTCGCCCTTCTCTGTGTCTCCAGGCTATTTCCTGGTTGTTGGGCTCTGTAGCTTTGGGGCCTGCTACTGGCACGGGCCTCTCACCAGCGAGTGGAGCAGAGGCCTTCTGATGTGGACACTGCGGTTCCTCTCCCTGGTCCTGCTCTACATGGGGGCAGCCGTGCCTCAGTTTGCCTACGCCATCATGGTCCTCCTCCTGTTCTCCCGGAACCTGCGCTATCCACTGAGAGCGCTCAGCTATCTGTGGTGGTAGGTATCTTCTCTATTGCTACCAACTCTGACATTTCGAGTTCTGTGTTTTATTTATGGTTTTGAGAGATACTTTGGGTTACATTGTATGGGTAATTGTGTTTAGTCTGGAGGTTTCGCTCTGAAACCACAGGAGGAAAAAGAGCTCTAAGCATTTGCTGCTATCTCCATTGAGTTCTGACATGAGGTACTCAGTAGTTAGAGCCTCACTAAAATCAGCAAAATGGCGTGGGCCCTGCCTGAAATTTCTGCCTTTATCACCCATTTCTTTTCATTAGAACCAAGATTGCTGTAGTGATATTAATTGTGCCATGGGATCAGAGTTAGGAGAAAATGTATCATAAATGATCGGAAGGAGTTACTCAGTTCATTTTGTTAAAGGCTGGCTTTGTTTTAGGTTTTATGTTTAAGGCTTAGGCTTTGTGAAAATACAGACAGAAAGATACAGCAACTTCCGCTGACACAATGCTATTATGTGTTTCCATAGTCTGTACATCTGTGCCCGGCACACAGGTCGAGACCTCCCTGCTTGTGAAAGTGAGGTGTGGGTGTGCAGATATGGGCATGCATTTATATATCTTCTGCCTTAAAAGACGTGTGTGTGTGTGTGTGTGTGTGTGTGTGTGTGTGTGCCATGTTCGTAAGTACCTCGAATGGCCAGAAGAGGGCGCCAGATCCTGTGGTGCTGGAGTAGCAGGCAGTGGTGAGCCACCTGATGTGAGCGCTGGCAACCACACCACAGTCCTCTGGAAGAGCAGTTGGCATTCTTACCACTGAGCTGCGTCTCCAGCCCCCACACTCAAGTATCCTATAGGTATAAAAACAAAGCTTGCTCAGGGACTGACATGGTGTTAACCTGTGAACGACTTCATTTGGTTGACTCTTAATGACCCAGAGTGAAGCCTGGACAGATGTGAAGGGTTTTCCTGACGGAGAGAGCCCTACCTAGCGCCATCATCAGGCGACGGTGCTGTCGGCGCAGTGAGTGAGGTGTGCTCTGGCCAGATGCAGCCACAGGCTGCACTGAGGGCTCTAGTCTGGTTCTTCATATGGGGGCTGGTAAGGGGACAACCTGTATGCATTTCCGTTAGTTCTCTCCTTGCCTGCCTGCACAGAATGTGTACATCCAAGCACTCGGGTCCAGGCAGGGGCGAGGCAGTGGGTGGCCAAGAGCACTGTGGGAAACTCTGCAGCCCCGCCGCAAAGGCAGTAGTTAAAGTAGTTACAGGCAGGAGGAGCTGATGGTTGCCGTGTGCAGAGGTGATGTAACCCACACAGTACAGATGTTGGCAGTTAATCTGATGAAAAATAGAAAACACACCTGGGAGATGAGAATGATACATGCGACAGTGAGCAGTTGTTGGCTGGTGGGACAGACCCATCTGCTGTCTGGCATAGAGGGTTGGTGATCAGGGCGGCTCCTGCAGGAGTAGACAGTCTTTGACACAGCTGTGGTCCATGCAGACACGTAGGAGAGTGAGGTGAAGGCTGGTAAATGGGTTAATGGATGTCTAGAACACGGTTGTGAGGAAGGAGACTCCATGGCAACGGGTGGTGGATGGACCTGGTGGCCATGTGTGTGGCAGTGTGTCCACTGCAGCGCAAGCATCAGTGACAGCCCAGGGTGCCCAGACAGGGGGGATGGCAGGCTGAGAGGTCGCAGTACCAGTGGGAGGTCGAGAGACCAGGGGCTTCTATCCTTGCTCTGCTCTGGGATCATCAGAGGTCCCTCTACCAGGAGGAGGCTGGCCGCTGCGGAGCCTCCCGGCCACCATCTTTGCCAGGCTGTGGCCCAAGGCATCCTGGGTAGAGCTCCTTTCTCCTTCCCTTAGGCACCCAGCTGTCTTACCAGTAGCAAGTGTGCTCTCATCATTAGCTGGGTGGCTCCATTATTCATCCCTGGATCTTTCTGTAACAACCCATGCATACCGTTACAGTGGCTACTTTAAATTTTGCTAAAGAATAGTTCTGTGGGGGCTGGAGAGATGGCTCAGAGGTTAAGAGCACTGACTGCTCATCCAGAGGTCCTGAGTTCAATTCCCAGCACCCACATGGTGGCTCACAACCGTCTGTAATGAGATCTGGTGGCCTCTCCTGACCAGCAAGCATACACACAGACAGAACACTGTATACATAATAAATAAATAAATCTAAACAAACAAACAAAGAATAGTTCTATGAAAACCCAGGGACTAAAGCAGGAACTTAGAAATTAAATAAACCAGAGAAAGAATGTCTTGACGTCCGCATCAGACTTGCTGGCTTGTAAAAGCTGCTAATGTATTATATATATGTTAGTGATATATATGTACTAGCTATTCTTTTGATTGGCTGCTGAGCGGTTTGTACAGATGTCCCATTTCACCTGCACAGTAGCTCATGAGACCGTGACAGGACTGGGAAGGGGTTGGCCAGTTCAGGCCGTGAGTGCACCCTCAAGCTGGGTTGTGCCCTGGTTTTCTGGGCCCGAGTCTGGGTTTTCCTGCAGGAAGCCCAGCCAGGTACTCAGAAGAGGAGAAAGAAGCAGTGTCCCTGGTTCCTCAATCCAGCTCATCAGCCGTTAACAAACCTTCAAACGGAAGGTTTGTTTTTAACCCTTGGACGGAAAGGTAGATCTGAAGCCACCGCAGACATTTTTAAGGCCCACCAACAAACGTTAAATTTGAAACTGTATCACGAATATGTCCTTACTGGCATCTCGAATCCCTAAGTACAGATGGCTGTATTATTGTGATATTTGTTACTTTTCTGACTGGGAAAGGAAATCTAGTCTCTGGCTTCTTAGTGCACACGTAGCCAAAGACGAACTGATAATAAATTCTTTTCTGCTCTGTGCGTTGGCGGCTCCACCACTAGGTGGCGCAATAGCCCACAGGCCCAGCTTCCTGTAGCCAGCGGTGGATGTCCCCGCTGATATCCATAAAAGGACATACCAAACGCTTGTTTCTGTTTGTGCCAGAGAAAATCAGCCGGCAAAGAGCACGGAAGCCAGACTTCTTGTCTAGTTGTATGATTAGGAGTCACTAAAAAAAAAAAGTTATACTCAACATCTCAATCAGAAATTGATTCTCAGAAGCCTTAGGAAATTGCTATGATGGTCAGAGAAGACAGCAGCCCCCTGTTCCTGTCCTGCTCCGGCTCCTCAGTCACAGGGCGGTGGGACACATGGGGTGCTGTACCAGGAGTTCAGAGGTGATATTGTTGATGTCTAAGATGTGTGTTTTTACATCACAAGGATTGGATTGGACGGGACTATGACAACCCGATGTTGTGTGTTTTAGGAGAATGAGGCCATGGTTCATAAGAGAACCGCCGGTCGTGAAGTTTCTCACCGAGGACGAGTATAGGGAGCAGGCTGAGGCTGAAACAGCCAGCGCCCTGGAGGAGCTGCGCCGCGCCTGCTGCCGGCCCGACTTCCCTTCCTGGCTGGCTGTCTCCAGGCTCCAGGCTCCTAAAAAGTGAGTCCTGCTCTGGCCGCGGCTGTGGTGGAGCCTCAGAAACCCGCACACATCCCCCCCTTCCCCTGCACGGCTGTCTCTGCCCCTGGTGGAAATGCCTTCCTCAGCCGACACAGTCAGGTCCCATTGAAGGGGACAAGCGGTGAGGTGCAGTTGTCTTTCAGATAAACCTCTGTGACCGACCACCTTCCCTGTTTAAAATTCCACAGGTTTGCAGACTTCATTCTCGGAGCGAGCCACTTGTCCCCCGAGGAAGTCATCACACACGAGAGGCAGTACGGCCTCGGGGGCGCCTTCTTGGAAGAGCAGCTCTTTAGCCTTCGCGCTGACAGTCAACCTGCAAGCTGACTTCAGTGTGGACGAGGGATCGGGTGAAGGGCAAAGATCCTTGTACAGTGGGCGGTGGGAAAAGCGTGCACCGCTGAAGAAAACAAGCCATGCGAGTGAGGAAAAACACGCGTGCGGAGAACGCCTCCGGCAGCCCACTTACTGCGCCGTAGGTGGCATAAGGACTCTAAGAATCATGGCCATTTGCCCCAAATGAAGACGACTTTCGTTAGAACAGCGGGACCTTTCCTTTAGGACCGTAAGCAAGGTCAGATACCATCCCAGCACCGGGCTCTAGCTCCTCTCTTGATGCCGTGAAGCTGGCTCTAAAGGCTGCCTCGTTCTCTCTCCATTTCTTGATAGCAGTGTTTTCTAAGGTGCACTCTGCATGGTACTGGTTAGGGCTGATAACAGCTTCCCGCGCCAGCATGGTGGACCCTGTCCCACCTAGCAGGTTCCTTCATCTTCAGTGCAGCGAAGACGTCGTGGGTCTGAACCGCAGACATCGTGCACCAGGGCCGCAGACTGACTGACCAGAAACCATTTTCCATGAGATGAATAATTGTTAGAACATGCTTGGAGGTTCGGGTTCGAGAGGTATGTCCTCAGCAGCCTTGGCCGCGCGCCAACCCTGGTGCACCCTGAGACTCGGGTGGACGACCATCTTCAGACGGAGGGTCGGGGCTGTGTCCTCAGCAGCCTTGGTCTCACTGTGTTGGTGCCTCCATTTTTGTCTGTGTTGCTTTTTTTTAAAAAAAAGAAAAATAATGACCAATTAGCTATTTAATAACTAACGGAAAAAAAATTTCTTAGGATTATATTTAATGTTTTCACAAGATTACATATGCAGACAGATTATCATTACTTTTTGTACTTTTATATATTAAATGTGAAAGCAGGTAGCCATGTGTGACATTGAGATTTATTTTTTATATGTTTTATATGAATGCTTTTATATGTTTGCGATGGTTTCTCACAAAACAGATTTTGATACTCTTTTTTTTTTTAGAGAGAGAAAATGTTTGTTTCTTGATTCATGATAAACTCCAGCATGCAATGAGCCACTAACTGCTTCTACCCCAGAGAAAGGAGCAGAAACAGGTCTAAGGGTTGACAATGGCAAGCATTCTGTGAAGGAGCCGCTGGCCTGATTCTCAGAGGATCAAATGCAGGCTCGTTTTAGTTGTCTGTGTTTTGTACTGCAATGATAAAAACATGGGAAGCCGTCCTGTATAAAGAAAGACGCGGTGAGGAGGACATAAGACGTGGTCACTGTCATTTCTTGAGAGCTGCGAACTTCATGGAACTTTCTAGATTGACTCTCAAATGATTTTTTTGAAGCAGTCGTCAGTGGTCCTGGATCTGCTTTCTACAGGCACATTTAACATGAGGAGTCTTGTTCCTCTCCTTAGAAACGTTACTCAGGGCAGTCTGCGCCATTACAGACTTTAAAAAGCCAAAGAATGCGGTGTGGGAGAGGTGCTCAGTGGACTCCCTGCCTTGCAGAGGACCTGGGTTCCGTCTCCGTCACCCACATGGCGCGACAGTTCCGGGTGATCTGATACCGTCTGACTCCGCAGGCAACGGGCATGCATGTGTCGCACATACATGCACGCAGGCAGAACATTCAGGCATAAAATAAAGCTTTATTTATACAAAACTGTCAAATGACGTGCCTCCGTTCATCTTGGCACCTGACCGTCTTGCTGGTATAGACAAGCGTTTACCTCGTTTTCCTTTTCTGGACCTTCACTTATCGGTGCTATACTGTAACGTGTCGGGCATGTCAGTGTTCTGCATGGCCGTGTTCACCCCTCACTGAGCGGTCTGTCTAATATCGACTGTGTTTGTGTGTGATTGACACGGCGGCATCCACTGCTGCGCCCGCCCACGCCGCCCTCCTGAGCCACGGGAGACCCCACTGTGAGGAAGCAGCTCCAAAGGAGGCGAGCCCCTGCAGCCACAGTAAACACAGTGGCAGTCTTTGGGGTGCTGTTTCCGCACTTAGTTTTGGAAGGAATCATGGATCTGTCAGATTGTTCTGTGAGAGGTCAAACAATTAAAGCATTTCTGGTAACACGCTTGTTGGCTTATGCCATTGGCCTGTGTTTTTTCTCACTCGGTGCACCAAAGGCCGAAGGATTTCTGGATGGATAGTCACAGTTTTCCTTTCCTGTAATCGTCTCTCACAGAGTAACTCGGGTCCAAGAGGCCTTGCAGAAGTGGGAGAAGTGGAGGCCACGAAACTTCCCATAGGTGATGTCTTCCCGTTGGCTGTATGCCATCTAGAACGGCAGTTTGCACTACAGGAAGAGGTTTAAAATTAGAATCCAGTTCTTCAGAGACACTAGCCACACGCCAAGGGTAAGGGTACTCGTCCTGGTACCGCAAAACCAGAGAATTCTACAGTCTTCTGGAAGTTCCGTTAGGCAAGGCCGTTGCTTGGGATGCTGAGTTTGAATGTGTTAGGGAATGTCTCCAAGTCCAGAATAGAAACAAGCACACATGGGTTTCAGGCACACACGACTCAGGGCTGGGCTGTGTATGGCTTGTATTGATGCAAGGAACAAGTGGCCTCCCCTCCCACGAGGATGGAAAGGTTGTCCCGCCCCCACGAGGATGGGAAGATTGTCCCCTCCCATGAGGATGGAAAGGTTGTCCCCTCCCACGAGGATGGGAAGATGGCTCCTCCCACGAGGATGGAAAGGTTGTCCCGCCCCCACGAGGATGGGAAGATTGTCCCCTCCCATGAGGATGGAAAGGTTGTCCCCTCCCACGAGGATGGGAAGATGGCTCCTCCCACGAGGATGGGCAGGCTGCTGTCACTAAGGAATGGAGCCCAAGTCCTGGCTCTGGCTGTGGTCCCACAACAGGCTCTGCTAGCCTCAGAATCTCCTATTTTGAATGAGAGTGGTGCTGTGTACTATGAATGATTAGCTCAGCACAGGGAACACTAACCATGGGTGAGCTTCTGTTTCTGCAGGTGCTCCGCTTACCAGATCCAGATACGCTGGGGGTGATCGCTTCAGACGTGGTCCCAGGAACAGCTGCAAACAACCGGTCCTGGCCACCACAGCAGGGTTCCTAGGACAGCAAGGTCACACTGTCCACGGCTCTGACTTGGTGGGTGTGCTGTATTTTGGAGAGTACTATTACTCTGCTTACGGCTTTATAAATAACAGCAAGCCAGTCAGGGTCCACACAGAACCCGGCTAACACTGTTCCTGCAGGCTAGGGGAACAGGACAAGTTGTTAGAGCCGTGATTACCAGCCTGGGCTTTGACACTCCTGTTTCCCGGGCTCCCCAGAAGGGCTATAGAACTCTCAAATCAGGTTTACTTTGAATTCACTTTAATGTCTTTAAGTGGTGTATGGCACTTTTAGGACAGGAAGAAAAAAGTGACAAAGTCCACAAACTCGTGAAGGTGTCAGCTCAGAAGGCTGGAAATTCCTGCATCGCTGGATCAACGCTCGCAGTAAACATTGTGTATCAAAGGCATGGTGAGTTTGGGGTCATTCATCACAGAGCAGAGGATTTACACTCGTTTGGTCACATGTTTTTCATTTAGGAAATATTTAAAAATGGTATTTACTTTTTATTTCAACACGTCCACGGGGCATCTCCAAAAACGGCAGGGCTTTTCAGAGAAATGGATCAGAACTGTAAACCCAAGATACAAGGTTCTGGCTTCCCTACAGTGGGTTACAAATCCACACGCTCTACATTCAAAGGTGGGGCTCAGCCTGGCCCCCACTTGGCTTCTGCGATTTACTCGAGCACAATAAATCCGTCCAATTTTAAAGGTCACTTAAAACGAGTCATGGTGATTGACAGGTACAGTACCGTTCAAGTGCAAAAATAACCACCTGCTTAGCGCTTCCCATCACTGTGAGCTGTGTCACCTAGGCGCAGAATGGCTCCCCCTAGATGTGGGGGCAGGCAGAGCCATCATGGGGAAGCCGTCACTGTCTGCTCAGGGTCAGAGGTTAAGGCGACCTTTCTCTCCTGTTCACCCTCAATGCCCTCCGCTCAGCCACAGCCACAACCCCCTTCCACCGGCCTCCCAGACAGCCTCTCTCCTTGCAAGCCCGATGTCTGGCGGTGAAGGGTAAAGCTGTCACCCACACCTAAAGGTTCCAGTGTACGACTACGGTTTGGAGGAGAAGAACAAACTTTAGATCTATTGTTTCTGAAGTCAAGAGATAAGTCTTTCTGGTTCCCACAATTCCCCTTCCTGGCCTCCTGTTTAGTACTTCACAAAACAGACCTAGTCCAGGATTTTTGAACACAATGCCCTTCCCCCAGGCACTTAAATCTTATCCTTCTCTTTGTAGATAGTAAGCTTTAGCTTAAGGGATCCTTAGGAACCCAGTGAGGACGCCAAGGCGCTGTGAGACAGCAACAGGCTGTCCTAGTAGCAGCTGCGCTGGAAAACCCTCGTCCACCAAGTCTTGGGGCAATGACTTGGACGGATTCTCTGCCATATCCTCTCAGTTTTGCTCATTCTCCCAGCCCACTGAGACAAAGGCCTTTTAAAGCTCGACTCTAAGCAGTCGTAACAGCTCTGCTGCTCGGAGACCTCCCTTCCCTACACACCATATGCATATAAAAATATATTTGCTAGAGATGTGCAAAGTTCAGCAAAACTTTGAACTTTTCTAAACAACAACAACAACAGAAAAAAAGCGTATGTTCTACTGACTTCCATCTGGTTCCCTTTTAAATAGGTCTTCTAATTTTTAAAACGCTTTTCTTCGAGACAAGTAAATTCATAGATACATTCTTCATCTCTCTTTGCACCGAGACCCCAATATTTAGAATAAATAATCAGAAGAGAGAGTTGATGTCATGCGTCACCCGGAGACCTGTTCATTCTCCTCACTTGGTGTGAGTTCTGCTTCCCACCCTCAGACCCTGGCAGAGGCGTTAGCTCAGACCTAACCCACCAAGAGCAGGGAGTCCTCACCCACCACTGCTTTGAGTCTCTACAGGACCGTAGCTCGTGTGTGCGTGGTTCCACAGTAATGAGTTTAGCTACTTAGAAGCATGTGCGGCGCGGTGCTTCCCTCGGGGAGGCATGTCCAGGGTGAGGGTCTCGCCCTCTGGGTCCTGACTGAGGTGTCTGGTGCCATGCAGGGTGGATGATGATCAGGTGCCCTTCAGTGTTCTCCTGCAGCGGGCTGAGCCAGCTGCTCCCCACATTCCTCTACATGGGGGGCAGCGCTGGGGTGAACGGGGCTGGGCTGCGGTTGAGATGCTGCTGTGTCAGGGAATGGCTGGTTTCTGGGTGGGTCAGAGCGAGTCTCACGGGGGACGTGCTGGGCTCCACCAGTTGCGGAAATTTCCCGATTCTCACTGGTCCCCTGGAAGGAAAAAGCAGAGGTGCCATCGTGGACGAGAAAGAATACATCCAACCCATTATACACATTTTCAAGTAAGAAACAATAAATGTACAGCCATCTCTCATAAAGCCCCACTTCCGGAACCAAGGCAGGAATGAAGGGTCAGGATAGACGTCTTACCTTTCGTTTCCTTTCCTAGGTACAACTGCCAGAGCCGCATGAAAAACACAAACACCGTAAGCAGACAAGCCTATGGCTAAAGGGACGTCATTCTCGGTGCTCTCGTCACCGCCAGGCAAACAACTTACACTCATAAAGATTTACTGAGTACCCAGCTCTGGGGCAAGTCACGGGGCCAGGGCCAAAGGATGCCCGAATGGCGGTCATTGGGAAGACCGCAGTCCTCCAGGGCCGGGGGCAGGGGGGTGGGGGATGACACCATCTAGAGGTGAGCATCAGAGGGCCCTCAGCCTCAAGACAGAGGGCAAAGAATGCCATGATGTGGAACCCTGACGTACATGCGGGATGTCCAAATAAACACAGAAAGCTAAGGAAGACAGAGCAGGCTTGTGAAGACGCTCCATGAGGCCAACGGGGAGGGAACTGAGCCACACACGCACAAGTACGGTCACGTAAGATGCCACCAGCGAGGGGCCAAGTCGGGGGGCATAGCTTTTAGACATCGGCACGTGCCACCTCCATTTCCTATGGTTGAATTAAAATGTTTTCTTTCATTTCATTTATGAAGGAAATATAATTTCTTCATAACAACGCTATGCCATAGCTGTTAGCTCTTATCCATTTAAACTCTTATTTTAATTAACATTAATCGAATTTCATGGGGAGGGCGCAAGCTTTCGTGCTGCAAAGGCGCTGGGCGTCTGTGAAAATGAAGGTGAGTTCACCAGTACTGAAGCATCACCTCTCAGGAGCAGGGCACCGGTTCCCTGTCTCACCTTCCCGCTCTGAGGTCTGGAACCTCCGGGTGTCCCTCCGTCTCTCACGCCCAGACTGGGCTCCACAAGTGAGTTAGGAGGATTTTGCCCACAGTGGCATGTTTGTGGCTCCCAGCAAATTGTCAGTTTCAGTAAAACTGGGCAGTGACTTTACAGTCAGTTTATAAAGCCAAGATTAATTAGGGTGGTTGACAAGTTTGCCTTTTTTCGTATGAAGATGTGTGTGTGCGTGTATGTGTTTTTTAAGTTGGTACATGGGTACCTGCACATGACTGCAGGCGTCCGTGGAGGTCTTAAGATTCCTTGGAGCTGTGAGCCACCTGTCAGGGACGCTGGGAACCAAGGGCGGGTCATTTGCAAGGACAGTGGCCTTGGCCCAGCCATCTCTCTAGTCAACTGCAGTTTGTGAGATTTTTTTTTTTTTTTTAAGAAATTACTGTCTGTCTTCCCTCTTATTTTTTTTTTCTTTCTGGGTTATTTGTTAAAGATCACATTGAGCTGTTCGTTTGTTTTAAAGTGTGTGCAGGTGTGCCGGGGACCGACTTATGGGGGCTGGTTTGCTCCTCCCTCTACGCGGGTTCCTGAGATCATCAGGTGTGGGGAGCATTCACCCACGGAGCCATCCCGTTTGCCCTCCTCCTCTGGGTCCTTTAAGCTACTGTAAACAGAGCTGACATTGCTTATCAAGAAAAGAGAAAGATTAAATATAGCATGGGGGAGGGGTAGGTAGAGCTACCGCCCTGCCCTGACCAAACTATCCACAGAGCCTTGTTCTCTC